GCTATTGTCGGGAACTTGCCGTCAACCAGCACCACGGCAAGTAAGTATGAAGTTTTGGAGTTTCTGGAATCTTTGAATGTCAATAAGCTGACACTGTCATAAGGTAGTAGCTGCTTAACAAAGATCGATTCACGGCTAAAAACTTTATCCCCGAACCACACTGCTGAGCCACATTGACCCCTCCCTCTACACCCCCACCCCTTCACATTCGTCATTGCAGCTCGTGCCGTGCCTACTCCAACGGCCACGGCAACAGCGATTCAAGACGCTGCATCTGCGGCGCCAATTCGGCCGAGGGCAAGGCTTCGCACCCCTTTGCGCCAGCGCACGGCATCCTTGCCGAGTGGATCCCCATCGAACCCGCCGCTAACTCCGCCGCCAGCGTCCCGGGTGTCGAATGACGAGCCCACAGATGCCGCCGCGACGGCCTCTCCCGTCCGCTCACACGTCCTCGGTGCACGCACGGGAGCTTCGCTCCGTGGGCGTGGTGTCAACCGTCGGCCTGGGCCTGCGACTGGAAGCAAAGTGAACACAGGCAATGACCCGGGTGAACATGCATTGGGAAGTATGATGAATGCTAGTGATTCAACATTGTGCATGCTCAGTCAGTGACATGTGCCATGCAGGAGCAATTTGCCGCATTCATGGATCGTACCCAAGAGTTGGTTGAGTCTGCTCAGGATGTCCGAGCCTCCAGGAAGCGTAGAGGCACGCCGCCATCCGAGCGCGACGATGAGTCGGAGTGAAGCCTTCGTCCCGCGGCGAGAAGTGCGGCATTTCGGCTGCGGGGCCGTTCTGCCACCAGGTGTTGCGCTCACGCGGAGGGAGAAGCCGAGGACGGGGGCCGAGACGCAGATCGATATTGTGTAGAACGATGCAGGCAGAGACGTACTAGGGGGCGCGGAAAATGTCGCACTCCAAGCGCCCGTCCAGCATCCGCCAGCGCGTCTTCAGCCGACCGTTAACCTGCTCGACAATCATCCTGGCGCAGGATTGCTGCAAGTTCCACACGCGCTGCTCGTCCGGGAGTCCGCGCCCGGGCAGCGCCCTGTAGGGAGTATGGATGTAGTCTCGTAGACCATAGGCCGCATCGGAGACTATGACATAGTCGTAGAGACCGCCCAGTTCAATCTTGTGTCTTGCCGGGCTGTGCTGGAAGACCCGAGCGTCGTTGACGCTTCCCGGCCATCCGACGTAGAAGTCGTAGATGTGGCCACTGCTGTCACAGATGAGTTGTGCAATTATGCGGAAAGTTCCCTTCCTATTCCTGGAATCTTCGCAATGTGGCCCCTGACCACGGCAGTGAACATAGGTGCCATCCATGGCACCTACGACACCAGGAATACCCGCCTCATTACGAAACTCACGCTCAAAGACTTGACACATTTCAAAGTCCGGCCAGATGACCCACTTCTCCAGTAAGACTCTGTTGACGAAGTCAAGAAACTGCGTGAACAGTTTCTGGGCGTGAGAGTAGGAATACCCGAAGTGCAGACCGAGTTGACGAAATGAAAGTCCTTGTCCAAGTCGGTTAAGTCCCAACGCCACAAATATGAAGTCGTGGACGGGATGTGTTCGCGTTGAGGAGCTGCGGAGCTGGTACTGATGCACAAGGTAAATGAACACACGCCTGTCCACGCGCATGTACTCGTAAAATGTAGACTCGGGCAGCAGGGTAATCAGGTTGAACCACCGCACGCGGGCATCGAGGCGATCCCCACGGACGAACACACGGGTCTGTCGCAGAGTGAATGCGGCGACGAGCGAAGGGATGACTGCATCAATGGCGGAGAGAGCAGGTAGCAGGAAACATCGCATGTAACCTTGAAGCACAATTCCGAGAAAGCGCACAAGTTGAATCAGAGTCATTGTGTGATGCCGAGTTGGAGACCTGGCCGAGCACTCCGACATTTGTAGCGTGCTCAACTGTCCCTTGAGCAATGTCGAGGTGGAGGTCTAGCGTTCACCTTTTTTAGCAGCGATTCGTTGACGTGTCGCGCTGTCAATATACGAATACCACGTAACCTACGCACCCTATAGGCGGCTCGGTTCCCCCCCTGTAATCTCGAACCTGCAAATTCGCACTTTCGTGTGTGATTGTGAATCTACAAGCATTGTCACCTGCGGTTCGAACATTGCCAATGCTCAAAGTCGAGTCATGTTCAAATGCTTAAAGCCAGGATCTCAAGTAGTTCAATTGTTTTGCAGTTGGTGAGGGGAGCTGGGCTGCGATTGGTTAGCGAGGTGAACAATCTGACGAGGTGTGAAGCGAGGGGTGCGAAGTAAAGACAAATCGCAAGTTCAGTCCGAACCAAGCAAGGCTCGGAAACTGGTTCGGTGACGAAGCTCCAATGCCTGCAATTTCTCGTCACACACAACAATCTCATGTACCAGCAAAATGTTTTGCATTTGCTCTAGGGGCAAAATCGTGGGTGTGCCGCACGCTCACTTTCCTAACCAGCCAGTCAATTCGCCTACAAAAATAGGGTAACAAGCGCTGCAAGTGTTTTGCAATTGAAGGCCAATTCTCTTACTTGAGATCCTGGCTTTAAATCGAGTAAAAAACATAAACTTATGGCAAAATCAAAAATCACACACGCCCTAACTCAACACCGTTTGATTCGTTGTGTCATTTGTGTGTTTGTGTTTCGTGTATACATTTAATGATTAAAGCTCGCGTCTCATATTTCTGTGTCCCAACCAAGTGTTAAACGCTTGGTATCCGGTAACCCTCAAACTGTCGCACAACTCCACTGAAGGTTGGCCCAGGTTGAAACGATTGGTTGGGAACCTACAAACTTGCTTGGCGGTAACGTGCCAAACCAATCATGCGATCGTGCATCCAGGTAGGTTTGGAAAACACACCTGCACGGGGACAACACGATCGCCCAAACTCCCCCACCGGCGACCAGGTTGTCGCACGAATCAAGCATTTACAACAGCTGAAAAATATGAGACTGACAGAACTCAGAAACCCGATTTCGCACTAGCACTAGGCTCAGGTTCAAGAGTAAAACTCTTTCCACTAGCAACCGCGGTTACCTCTTACACAAAAGTTAGATTCTCGTTGATCAGCATATACGGCCGACCTATAAACTTGAAATTAGGTCTTCATTTATCAGTATCAGCGGCGACCAGGGTACATCCCGTGCTTATCGTGAACCATGTCCAGGTAATGAGGCGCGCCAGGTAAGGGACGCGATGGGGCAGGACGGGACAGTACGGGAAGCGACGGGACTGGACAGGACTGGACGGGAAGGGACTAGAGGGACGGGACGGGACGGCACAGGAAGGTAAGAATCTCGACGAGGGGCCGGGAGGGGACGTGACGGGAAGGCGGGATGCGACGAGACCGGACGCAAATGGAAGGGAGGGAAGAGGAGCACGCGGAAGGGGCGGGATGCGACGGTACGGGGCGGAAACGGGAGGGACGGGAGGGGACGCGACGAGGGGGCGTGCATGCAGGGGGTCATGCATGAATGCAGGTCCTTGGCGTAGCAGGGTGAAGAGCACATCGTGTAATACAGCACAGCACAAGAACAGCGCACAGTGCAGCAGCGCCTGGACGAGTGGGGCGATTGCGAGCGCAAGTGCAGCCAGTGGCGCGAAGCCGCCAAACATGTCCCAAAACTCGGTCGTCCAGCTTGCCGTCGACTGGTTGCAGGGGGGATGGGGGCCGAGCGGGGGAGTGGGAGAGGGAGCGAAGCAGGAGCAAGTAGGGAGCGGAGGAGCGGAGAAAGGAGGGGAAGGGCGGGAGAGAGGCGGCGGAAGAGGGAGAGAAAGGAGCGGGAGGAGAGCGGGGGAGAGGCGGGTTGGAGTGGAGGCGGGGAGAAGGAGCAGGGGGGGGAGGGGAGGGGGTAGGTGGGATGTGGAGGGGAGGAAATGGGAGGGGAGGTGAGTGGAGACAGGAAATGCGCTCCTGCTTGCCGGCGTTCATCCTCCCTATCTCCGTTCTCTCCTCCCCAACCCCTTTTCCTTTCCCCCACCCCCCTTGCCTTTCCACTCATTCTCCCTGCCGCCCTGATTAGGTGCGAACGACGGGTTGCGATAAATCCCGTCATTCCCCCTTCTGCTCCCCATCAATTCCCGCTCTGCTTTTCCATCAATTTCCCCTCTGCTCTCTATTTCCCCCCCTGCTTCTCCTCCGTTCCCCCCCTGCTTCCCCCCATCCCCTTCCCTGCTTCCCCCCATCCCCTTCCCTGCTTCCCCCCATCCCCTTCCCTGCTTCCCCCCATCCCCTTCCCTGCTCCCCCCCATCCCCTTCCCTGCTTCCCCCCATCCCCTTTCCTGCTTCCCCCCATCCCCTTTCCTTCTTCCCCCCATCCCCTTTCCTGCTTCCCCCCATCCCCTTTCCTGCTTCCCCCCATCCCCTCAGCCCTCCTTCCCCCCACCCTCTGCCCTGTTCCACCCTGCCCTCCCCATCCCTGCCTTTCCCTCCCTGCCCTGCGCTTCCCTTCCCCATCCCTTCTCAACCCTTCCCTTCCTTTTCATGCCCTCCCCTTCCCCTTCACACCTCACCCGCCCACTACTGTAGTTCCCATGCATGTGCACCCATCACTGTCTCCCCACATGCTTTCATCATGTGCGCTTGCTTGTGTTCCCTTGCAGTTGTTCCTTTGGCACCTCACACCACCTCCCCCATGTTCCTTCACACAATTATTCCTGCCTACTCCACTCCCTGTATTTTCAGTGGTGAAGCAGAGGAGCAAGCTGAGGCGCAGCTAAAGCTAGTCCACGCTCTATACCGTACCACCACCTGTTTTTCTTGTGTGTTGTATGCAAGCATGATACTGTATTAGTGTAGGAGATATCCATATCAAAGGCACAATATGTACTTTTCTTTCTGCAGTGCAAGATATTCTTCCAAGATGTATGGACACTGAGAGTGTCAGAAGGATAGAGGCATGTCCCTAATACTGGCATGTTCCTATACTGGCTTGTAGCTTGTAGCTTTGCGTATGCATTACAGGTTGTATGACACCTGGTGTCGCAATGGTGCCTCAAATCCATGAGAAGGCAGGGAGGTGTGATGGAAAGGCAGGGAGATGGGTAGTAAGTGAGGGGAGATTTGAAGGGACGGAGGGTGAAAAGGGAATACAAGCGAGTAAACATGAGTTAATAAGATGCATGTATGGGGCAAAAGTGATGGCAGCACATGCACATGAACTGGAGGGCAGAAGGCGAGGAGTGACGTAGAAGGGCGGGGTCGAGAAGGGAAGGGCAGGGAGGAAAGGGCAGGGATGGGGATGAAGGGGAGGGGAGGAAGGGGAGGGAATGATGGGGAGAGAAGGAAGGGAAGGGGAGGAAGTGGAGGGAAGGAAGGGAAAAGGGGGGAGGGGAGATTGGTTACAGGAAGGAAGGGACGGCGGTGAGGATTGCGAGAGTGAGAATGGCAGGAAGAGTGTGAGAGGGCAGACGGGCCTTGTGATGTGGCCCACAAGAGATGAGAAGGAAAACGAGATGGTGGGAGGCATGAAGGAGATAAGGAGAGAAGCAAGGAAGGCAGGGAGAGGTGGTGGGAGGCATGAAGGAGAGATGGAAAAGGGGAAGCGGGATTGGAAAAAGGGGTGAATGAAAAGTGAGAATTCGGTAAGAAGGTGAGTGACGGGGGAAACAGAGTGGGCAGAGGGGAGAAAGGGTGAGTGTGGGGGAAAGAGAGTGAGCAGAGGGGAAAACGCGTGAGTGAGGGGTGAAAGAGAGTGAGCAGAGGGGAAACGGGTGCATAAAAGGGGGGTAATGAGAGCCTGCAGGGGGGGAAATGAGGGCGTGCAGGGGGGGAAATGAGGGCGTGCAGGGGGGGAAATGAGGGCGTGCAGGGGGGGAAATGAGGGCGTGCAGGGGGGGAAATGAGGGCGTGCAGGGGGGATGCCGCGCGAGGAGGCGAGAGGAGCACGCACGGGGAGGGGAGAGGAGCACGCGCGGGGAGGCGAGAGGAGCACGCACGCGGAGGGGAGAGGAGCACGCACGCGGAGGGGAGAGGAGCACGCACGCGGAGGGGAGAGGAGCACGCGCGGGGAGGGGAGAGGAGCACGCGCGGAGAGACGAGAGGAGCACGCACGGGGAGGGGAGAGGAGCACGCGCGGGGAGGCGAGAGGAGCACGCACGCGGAGGGGAGAGGAGCACGCACGCGGAGGGGAGAGGAGCACGCACGCGGAGGGGAGAGGAGCACGCGCTGGGAGGGGAGAGGAGCACGCGCTGAGAGGCGAGAGGAGCACGCGCGGGGAGGCGAGAGGAGGCGAGAAGGGGATATTGGGCGGCAGAAATGGGAGATCGGGCCGCGGGAACGGGAACTCGGGCGGGTTGCACGGGAGATCGGTCGGCGAGCAGGGGAGATGGGGTGGCGGGGAAGCGGAGGTCGGGTGGTGGGAAGATGACGGCTATTACCTAATCATAAGCATAGGCAAAGGGGAGCGCTACTGCTGCTCACCCCTGTTACGTGACATTCTTTGTCCTTTTGACGCCTTTGGATAGGAGCTAGGTTACTAATGGAGTGGTAATGCTTCTACTACGTGTAAGGAGGTAGGGCTGGAGTGCTAACCTTGGCGCTTGATTTTTCCCTATCACTTCACTCCCTTGCACAATCTGTGTTCCCGTCGTCAGTGTTGGTCGCACAAAGTGCAACTTCCCAAACCTGTCACGCAAGAGGTTCGGATGTGACCCAAACCTGCGCCTGAGCTCTTGTGTTGGCCTCAACACTTTGGAACTTCGCGCATGTATTTCCCCCGCTCGTCAAAAAACTCGTCACTCGTAAACCAATCAGGATCTTACTTTCCCAACCAAGTGTTAAACACTAGTAAATATGAGACGCGAGCTTTAACACACCTGTGCGATAGTATTTTCAAAGTTGTCGTTTTTAGCTTTGGCGGAAACGAAGACCACCTGTAGCTGAACCGTGGATTGCCCCGCATCTCTGGGAGGAGACAATATCACGAGGGTACACTGGTGGGAACGAAGGGTCCTGCTCTGGTGATTTGAAAGAAAAAAGAACACCGCCACCCAATGTCAGGGGCAAGTCACCCATCGCCCACTCCTCAGCAGTGATACTTCGAGAAGCAAGGTGCCTCGTTGTTTAGCATGCTGCCTTCAGATTCAGAGGCAGAACGGAGGCTTGTTCAAATGTCAACAACACCAAATGTCAACGCAATTGTGATGCCGCCGCCCGATGGCAGGCATCGCTCCTCCACGTGGTATGTCAGGCTCTCGTAAGGACGTGGTTTAGTTAGGTAAGATCGTTCGCATTCGATCGTTATTGGATTGGATCGGATCAGATCGGGTGGGATTGCTCCGAATCTGAGGCAATCTATCGATCACGTTCCGAGACGCGCGATCTGACAGAAGAATTTCGATCAGCAGCGCGGGTTCTAGGCTAGGGACACGTCCCTTCCACACAAAGTTGGCGGAACTAGCGAAGGTCGGTATCGCGCAATTACAGCGTAGCCCCATTTTGTCGCCCGATTGCCCCAGGCCTCAGGTCTGATGTGGCGATATCCAAAGCTGCTGCCAGCAGACGCGAAAGTTCAGCAGAGTGGGTTTCTAATCGTGAGTGTCGCCAGGCGCCGCGGTCGGAGACAATCTATCGATCGCAATCGATTGCGTCAGATCAAAGCAATCTACCGCAATCGAGTGGGTTCTCGATCACATTCGAGAGATTGCCCCCGATTGCCTCAAAATGCTCCTGGGGCTTCTCGGAAATGGTAGATTGCGTCAGATCGAGGCAAACAGCCTCAGATCGAACCTATCTGCATCACGTCCTAGATGATTAGGGAAGTGGGAACGAGCTCCAGAGACCAATGTCCCGCATTTACCCTAGAGAAACCAACCATTTTCAAGAGTCGATTTTTCTGGTCACTTGAACAGGTTGGTCATTCGCAGGGAGTAGTGAAAGGATCAAAGGCAGAGCAAGAGTCCACATTCCATTAATGCCACCACCGGCCAAGCCAAGGAGAAAACCAACAGATCGTTTTGCTGGAAGGGAATGGCAGCAAGTGACTGGTTGCCATGTTCATCGCATCCAGGTCAAGGTTTGCGATACAAGTCACCTGAACTACAGTGACAGCCTTCTTGTAAGCGGCATCATCTTACTAGATCGTTTTAAATCCGTTTGAATCCACTCAAGGAGCAAACCTGAGTGAGGATGGCTGGCAGCAAGGCCATAGGCACCCGCGATCCATGCCCAGGCGAAAAATAAACACAAGCCCCACCAAGGTGGGTAGTTTAGGAGTAACTGTTCATTTTGACCGTACAAGTTTTGCACTTCTTTGACAAGGACAATCACAGCCTACGCCTCTGACATACAGTTACGCACTGTACCCACGTTGGCTTGCCCACAGTGTTCCTTCCGGTCCAGAACAAGCAACCAAGCCAAGACCCTGGGCTGTGATGACTGTAGTCACTGTACCAGCGTTGCACCAGTCCACTCCACACAGAAGAAAAGCCTGTCCAGTGTCCAAACCACCACCAGCAATATTTCTGTGTGGTTCACTGCCAGTCTCTACTAAAACTCTAGCAACCACGGAGTATTGCGTTCTTAGTCGCCATTCTAAATTGCCGCTCCTAGTCTCCGGGCCTGGCCGTTTCGCCAAGCTATTTTATTCTGACGCGTTACGTACAGACTGGATATGTTAGAATGGTGACTTCATTCGGTAAAAGAAGGCTTAAGGGCGGAAGCTTCTGGAATGATAAATCAAACCGTTTTTAGGAAAATGGAGGACGAGCGCGTGTCGATAGTGGTTGAGTCAAGAAACGGCGCTGCGAGCCAAGCAGCTGCTTACGGCGCCGAACCAATGCGCGACGTCGCTGGAGACGTCGCAGGCGAGTCGCACGCCGAAGATGACGACTTAACCACGTCGCCGTTCGACGAAACGACAGGCGGAAGCGGAGCCGCCGTCGACGGCGTCTCGGGTGATCTCTCGATTAGCCGTCGACGGCGGCGGGGTCTTTGGCGGGCGTTAATCAGCAATCCGACAGATGCCACGGAAGCGGACGATCAACTGGAACGGAAGGGACTGTGGCACGGAGCTCGAAGCGCGCACATTTCGTGCATACCTTGCGGCTCGTACAGCAAAGCCACTGACGCCGGGGCCGCGGGTCACGACGACGCCGAAAACGGCGGAGGTCGAAGCGCCTCGTGGTCTAAGTTTCCGAAATCGGTTTCGAGAAGTACTAGTGGTAGTCGGAGCAGTCGAAGAGACGGCGAGGACGGCAAGGACATCGAAGCGGCGATCCCCGTGCGCACCGCGGACTTCGACACGAAGATCGAGAACCACTACGTGATCGTGATCCACGGGACGTTCGACGCGCCGCCGGCGGACGGCGCGCCGACGTGGTATCAACCGCCGGCGCCCGGCGAGCAGAACTTTTGCCGGAAGCTGAGCCGGCTGCTCGCGCTGGGACCCATCGGCGAGGACGCCATCTGGCGCGATCTGCCGTGCTCCGCGCTCCCGGGAATCCCGTACCCGTTCCACTGGGACGGCACCAACATGCACGCCGACCGCGTAACGGCCGCAATGAAGGTGAGTGGAGGAAACGAGAAGGAAGGCGAGCGGAGGAGGGGAGAAAAGGGGAGTTGAGGGGTGTGGGAGGTGGCGTCGCCGCGGCAGGTCTCGGGAGGTCATGTCGCTACTAGATCGTCGCAGAGAGTCGCCAGAGCGTCGCAAGGTAGTCGGCGGAAAGAATCGCCAAAGAGCCACCAGAGAGTCTGAAAATCAGAAGCTCTTCGGTAATTATGGCCGAAGATTGCAATGAGGTGTGTGGGAGGAAGCCGCCACCGCATCCAGTGTGGTAACGCGTGGTGGCGACACGCGTGCGCGAATTTAGCGGGCGAAAGTTCATGACCTAAATTGATAGTGTGTAGTTTTCTTTAGCGATTGACAAAATTACACCCCACTCGCTGCCGCAAGCGTTTCCCCGGTCGCCCGAGTCAGTAGAGTAATCGCAACCCTAAGTTGGCCGCATCCGTTGTTGAAAATTCCTACTTTTTTTGTTTTTCCCCTGGAATCGCTCCGCTTCCGCAAGTCCCGCGCCCATCTGTTTGCGCGTAACCTCACAACCACCCGGAACGGGGAAAGCTGCAAGCATGGAAGACTATTTTCGGGAGGGGTGGTGGGAAATAAAGTTGGGGAGTTTGATGTTAGCGAGAGAGGTGTAGTTTGCGGGCAGGAGGGGAAGTAGACCAACAGGATAAATGTTTCCTTCGGGTCTCTGTTCTTTCAGGGGTAACTGGAGTTTTTTGGAAAACATACTTCGCATTCGTGTTGGTGGACGACAGTATCTTACCCTCTCATTACTTCAATTATTTAGGAGGGAGAGAAATGGGTTGTTTTGTTTTGTTCCTGATGTTCGGCTTTTTGTACAATATATTTCTTGCCTGCCCCCACCCACCCCCTTCATCAGCTGCACAATCTGATCGACCAAATTGCTCAGAACGACCCGGCAGCTCGGATCCACCTGGTGGCGCATTCACACGGAGGCAATGTGATGCTTAAGACAATTGAACTGGTAAGTGAAACGCTTAAGTAAGTGCTCAAGTGCATATCCACATCCACAGACCTAAAAAATGAGGGCTTAATCCGAAAGCATGACTTGATATAAAAAGTTATACACCCCTCGCCAGCCACTCTGCCCTTCCTTCCCCATTCCCCCATTCCCCCTTCCGTCCTCATGCTTCCATTCAAAACAGTGCATGGTGACGCGGGCCCACCCTTTCCCGCTTCCTCCCCCTTTCCCCCCTGCTCTTCCCCATCGCAAACTGGGCCGTGCTCCCCTCTTGCTCCCCCCCCGCTCCCCACCCCTCCTCCACTCCCGTCCCCTCCTAACAGTACATGGCGAAGTTGGGGCGGCGGTCGAAGAACGAGTGGCACCCGGCGGTGGCAAGGCAGTTTTGGGCGGCACACAGGCGGAGCTACGAGCTGATCAAGAAGTGGCGGCGCATCGACATGCGCGGATCGTGGTGGCGCTTCTTCCCCTTCCTCGTCGTCTTCCGAGGGTGAGTTTTGTTTGAGGGTGTGTTGCGTTCCGAGGGTGAGTTGCGTTTCGAGAATGAGTTGCGTTTAGAGGGTGAGTTGTGTTCCAATGGCTGAATTCGTCTCCTCTCCAACCTTTTCCTTTCCTTCTTCCCCACCCCTCTTCCACTCCATCCCCCATGCCCCGCCCATCCCAAATTCTACTGCACTCGCAATTTCAACAGGCAGAGGGCAGCGGGGTGAGGAGAGCTACTATCGACTCTGACTGCACCTCACCTACCATATTTCCCCTTCACCCACTCTTCCCCCCACCTTCAGTTTCAACGGGCAGAGGGCGAGCGGTGTAAAGGAGAGCTACCCGTGGGCGTACCAGCAGTGGCTGGACTCGCTGCTGCGCCTGCCAGCAGTGCGACAGAGCCGCTTCCTGGCGTTCCGCCATGCCACCTCGCCCATCACCAACGCCCTCGGCGCCCTCGTCTTCCTCGGCACGCCCTTCTACATAAAAAAGTGGCAGAGCAACGGCTTTCTCTGGCTGCTCGTGTCAACGGTGTTTTCGGTGGTGCTGCTGTATGTCTTCATTCTCGTCTACACGTCCATCTGGCAAATCATTGTGCTACTGATCGCCGGCCGGCCGGAAGAGTGAGTAGTTGCTGTTGTATGAATATAGACACCTGACCCACTAGCTCTTTTTTCTTTTCCTTCTTTCCTTTTTTTTTTTTTTTTTTTTTTTTTTTCAGCAATCTGTGTTTTTCCTTGTGTATGTATATTTGTGTGTTTACATTGCTCATCCTCCCTTATCTCCCCTCCTCTCCTTTCATTTGTCCCAACCCCTCAAATTCCAGCTTCTATGGCCAGAGTGCCCCTCCTTTCGTTATTGCCACTGGAATCATGCTTCTCATCAATGTGAAGCAAGTCATGGATGTGAGTACAGTACAGTGCACGAGGTGACTTCAAAGCCATCTCAAATTCCGTGTGACATTGTAACGAGGTAACTTCTGAGTCACACGAATTTCAGTCACTGGAATCATGCTTCTCATCAATGTGAAGCAAGACATGGATGTGAGTACACGAATTGAATCTGTAGCCGGCTCAAATTCCACGTGACATTGTAACGAGGTAAATTGAACTTCACTCTTACATCACCACTGGTATTCTGTTACTCCTCATCAATGTGAAGTATGCAAAGCCTCCGTGAGTTAGGGTATAGGCAGTATGCAACGACATAGTTACAACGAAATAAGTGTACATGCGTATAACTACACTGGGTGCTTAACCCTTTGATAGTTGTTGCTGTTTTTTTTTTTTTTTTTTTTTTTTTTTTTTTTTTTGTTACAGGTTCTGCGCACCACAGTGTTCTACAGTGGCAATCTCTACCACAAGCCAACCTTTGACTGGTCACCGGCCATGTCTGCTCTCGTCATTCATGCCGGCAAGCTCGATGAGGTCAGGCCCCTCATACCCACTCATACCTACTCATACCCACTCATACCCACTCAAGCTACCCTCGCTCCTCCTCACTCTTTTGAGGCGCCTCAAAAGCATGTCTGCTTTCGTTATTCATGCCAGCAAGCTCAATGAGGTGAGGCCCCTCATACCAACTCATACCTATATGTACCCTCACTCCTCCTCACACCTCAATCCACCCTCCTCCTTGCACTTCAACCAACTCTCATCCTCACTCAACAATCAATCCGCCCTCTCCTCTCCACCGACACCCCTTTCCCCTCCTTCCCCACCATTTTTCCTTGCTTCAAATCTCCATTTTACCATTCCTCTTCCAAGATCTCCCCACCCCTCCCCCTTCCCCCCCCATCACCCCGCCACCTGGCCCCATCCCTCCCTCCCCCACCTCCTTGTCCCTTCCGTTCATAATCCCCTTTCATTTGTGCGTGCGTGTGTGTGTGTGTGTGTGTGTGTGTGTGTGTGTGTGTGTGTGTGTGTCTGTGTGTGTGTGTGCACGCGCATGCGTGTGTGTGTGTGTGTGTGCGCGCGCGTGCGCGCACGTGTGTGTGTGGGCGTGCGTGTTGCGTGTGTGTGTTTCTATTGTTTGATTGTTTGTTTTCTGCTTTTTTTTTTATTTCTTCTTCTTCCCTCAAACCAACAGGCCAGTCTAGCGTTATCCATGGAGCCAATCACACGAGCTTATGTCTTCCCCCACCTGACAAAACTCCTGAAGCAGACCCCCTGGGCGCCCTTCCCCAAGCCCCCCACGCGCTACGCGCACCAGGTGGACTGGTGGGCCTATTTTTTCCACTGCGCCATCATCTTCGTGTGGGACACACTCTTCTTCCTCCCTGCGGCCATCATGTCTGTGTGTTCACACATCATCGCGCCGATCGTTACTGGCACGCTCCAGAAGATGATTGTCACAGTCAGCTTCGGGCTGTCGCCGGGGGATTTGAACTACGCGTATATTTATGTGGATGAGCATCTGGATCTGGATTTGGCTACTCAGCAAGTCGACCACTGGAACGTTCAGGTATGGTTCAGAGTCAAAGGTCCTGGGTTCGAATCTTGGGTGTGCACTATTGAGCATAGTGTTCTAGGTCGCTCCCAGTGAAGGGGGTGTTGACAAAAAAGCACATTCTTTTGCAAACCCATGTTCAGATTATAGTTTTCAGCAGTCTCTGCTGTCTCCCCTCGTTTCCATACTTACTTTTGTCTCAAACCGTGCAACCTCCCTCCTCCATATCAGAAACTGCTGGCAGAGGCAAAGACCAAGTCACTCAAGGGAGAGTTGATGCCCGGCTATGAGGATGACACTGTGGAGCAACCCGAGTGGCTGGAGCCTGTATTGCAGTCGCCCCGCCCGCCCTCACACCTGCACTCCCCACATGCAGCAACACCAACAGGAGCAGCAGCATCAGCAGCTGCTGCTTCTGCTGGCTCTCCCGTTGATCCATCAGCCTCTCCCCTCGGCACGCAGCAGGCTCAGGGCGCGTTCGGGAGACCAAGGAGCAGGAAGGGGGTCAGGGGCGGGCGGCTGACAACGCTGGCTGCAGTGGCGGAAGCAGCAGTAGAAGCAAATGAAAGGGGGGTGAGTTTTGGTTCACCTGAGAGGGAACCACAGGCAGAAGCAGCTGTAGGGGTGCATGAGAGGGAGGGGGTAGGAACAGCAGCAGGGGGCTATCAGAGGGAACAGGGAGGGGAGACTGCAGCAGGATGGTCTCAGCAAGCTCGGGCAGGGGTAGGCGCAGGGAGGGGAGGAGGAGAGGGGAGAGAGGTGGAGGGGGTTGTGGGGATGGGAGGGGTTGCAGAACGGGTGAAGCAGAGGGAGGGGAGTGTGGGAGAGGAAGAGTGGTTTGATGCGCCTGAGGGAGAGTGGGAGGGAAGCGGGGAAAAAAGCCCGCAGAAGCAGCAGAAGCAGCGAAAGCAGCAGAAGCTGGTGAGGAATGTGAGCTTGGACAGGCCAGAGGAGGAGGAGCAGAGCATGGAAGGAATGGCTGATTTTCTGGCTGGTTTGCGTTCCCCTGCAGCCATTGATAGCCCTGCTGCTGGTAGCGGTGGCGGTGCTGCTGCTGGGGGTGGTGGTGGTGGTGGTGCAGCAGGAGCACATCGGGAGCAGCTGGTGGGTGTTGTGAAACCGCTTCCACCCCGGCTGCTGCCGCACACACCTCCAGCCTTCTCGCCCCACGCAGCAGGGCTCCCCACATTGTCCGTTCCCGGAGGCTTTTCAGCTGCTCATGCAGGTGACCCGGCCCGCTCGATGGCGGACGAAGCTTCTGGGAAGGTGCATGACGATGCTTCAGCAGCAGCAGCAGCAGCGGCAGCAGCTTCAGCTGCATCGTCTGCAGCAGCTACTGCTAGAGCAGAAGCACCAGAGGACAGTGGCAGAGAGAAGCTTGTGTACGAGTTTCTGTGGGACGATCAGGAGCTGGCAGTGATGGCGGAGCAGTCGCAGACCTTCCAGCGGCTCAAGTCCCAAATGAACAAAATCGGGCGCAACCCGCGGCTGAGCGAGCGCGAGTTTGAGCGGCAGTTGCAGCAGCTGTGCGTGATGATTGAGGAGCGAATGGGAGAGCTCACCGGGCGGTTTGACCTCAACCATGGAGCGTACTTCCGTGACCCGCGCATCCTCCGTGTGATTGCTCACTTCATTGAGAAGCGAGAGCTTCCGGAGTGGTCGAAAGGGATTGACGGGGATATCTGGCGGTGGAATGAGAACTTAGCTAAGATTCAGACCAGGCAGCTGCAGCAGATGGCTATGGGAGGTGGCGTGGGCGGAGCGGGAGGCTCGGGAGGAGCGGGAGGTTCGGGAGGAACGGGAGGAACAAGAGGATCAGGAGGGAAGGTAGGAGAGAGCTCGTCAAGAGAGAAGGAGTCTTCTGGTGGCGCCAGTAATGCTTCGAAGCTGAAGCTGCTGCTGCTTAAGAGTATGCGAGGAGGGAGCGGGAGGGAAGGTGGGTGGAAAGATGGGAGTGGAGCTAGGGGATCGAATCCCAGCTTTGAGAACATTGACTTGAATGTTGCTGATGGCTCTGGCTCTTTAGGCTCGGAAGGAGGCCCGGATGGAGGCTCGGTAAGAGGCGTGCCAAGTGGTATTAGCTTTGGGAGTATTAAGGGCAAGGCGGTCAGCTTTGGCGTTTCTGGGCCGCCTCGGCCGAAGCTAGACCTGCCGAACCTAAAACCCGAAGCTATTGCAGCTCCGATTCGGAAAATTAGGTCGACGGTGATTGGTGTAGCATCTACAGCTCGAAGTCAGCATCATCAATAACAGCAGCAGTAGAAGCAACAGCAGCAGCAGCAGCAGCAGCAAAAGCAGCAGCAGCAGCTGGAGGGATGTGGAGTGACGGATGGGATTTCAAGCAGCAAATCACTGATTTACGGCATCAGAATTGGCAGCAGTGGTGGCAGAAGTGGGAGACGAAGTGAGGGTGGTGGTGGTGTTTGTGTAAGTATTGGGGGGGGTAACAGTGGTAACAGTGGTAACGATGGTAACAGTGGTTCTGGTGGCAGTTTTTACAAGGTATATTTATTGATAATATATACCATATCTAACCTTTGCATGGTGTGTTTGCTAACCTTAGAAACTTCCCATCCAATGTGGGCTGGACACTGCTTTCTCACTGATACTTTGGCTGATGTTATAATTTGGTTCGCCTACCTGCATAGATGGACAAGTGCGGTGTTCTCTGCATTTCAAAATCAATGTGCAGACAAGACAACTCTTGGTAGTGATTCACGTGCCTGCTCTGCATCAATATTAACAGTACAAAGTATAGGCTGTAAAATTAGTAGATATAGCCCCTCCCACTTTCTATTGACTCAGAGGAAACTTCATCCCCTTCTCAACCAGCTCTTGAAGCCCCTTCTTCAACCTCCCCGCCGCAACCTTGTACTTTTCCGCGGGTAAGTTCGCAAAAGACACCCTAATATGCCCGGGTGCACCGCTCGCACTCCCTGGAATAACCACCACACCATGCTCACTCACCAGCCACCTCACCACAGCCCCATCATCTTCACACCCTTCTGGAAGCTTCGCCCAAAGGTAAATCGCCCCCTCCCCGCCCCACACCCGCCCACCAACTCCCAGACCTGTGAGCACAGCTAGGGCGTCCCGCGCCTGCTCCAGGTTCGGCGATAGTGTTTGGATAAGGTGGTCGACGAAGGGTTTCCCGGCGGAAGGGGATTGGAGGGCGGCGAGGGCTGCTTGCTGGCCAATGAGATTGGCGCAAATGGGGATGGTGTCTTGGGCTTTGATTAGAGAGTGGCCGAGACGAGGGGCGGAATTGGGGTAGGCAATCTGGGTGGATCGGTAGAGGGGAGGGGGGAAAGCGGGACACGAGAGAAGGATAGAAAATAGCGGGAAATTGGGAGAGATTGGCACAGATGGGGATGGTGTCTTGGGCTTTAATGAGAGAGGGGCTGATATTAGGGGAAGAGTTGGGTTAGGCGATCTGGGTGGAGTGGCGTGAAGGTGTATGAAGAGATGCAAGGAAGAGAATCATGGAAAGCCATGATCGGAGGCGTGAAGAGAATCACGTTCACACGCTGGTGAGAATAAATCCACTCACATAGCCAACGCGCCACCCCATCATGCCATACGCCTTGGAGAAGGAGAAGATGTTGAGCACGTGAGGGCCCTCCAGACACACATGGCATGACTGTACCCCCCCAATCACTCACGCCTACCACTGGCCATCCAGTGTCCCTCCCACAGCTCACTCACACATCCCACTCGCCACTCACATAGCCAACGCGCCACCCCATCATGCCATACGCCTTGGAGAAGGAGAAGATGTTGAGCACGTGAGGGCCCTCCAGACACACATGGCATGACTGTACCCCCCCAATCACTCACGCCTACCACTGGCCATCCAGTGTCCCTCCCACAGCTCACTCACACATCCCACTCGCCACTCACATAGCCAACGCGCCACCCCATCATGCCATACGCCTTGGAGAAGGAGAAGATGTTGAGCACGTGAGGGCCCTCCAGACACACATGGCATGACTGTACCCCCCCAATCACTCACGCCTACCACTGGCCATCCAGTGTCCCTCCCACAGCTCACTCACACATCCCACTCGCCACTCACATAGCCAACGCGCCACCCCATCATGCCATACGCCTTGGAGAAGGAGAAGATGTTGAGCACGTGAGGGCCCTCCAGACACACATGGCATGACTGTACCCCCCCAATCACTCACGCCTACCACTGGCCATCCAGTGTCCCTCCCACAGCTCACTCACACATCCCACTCGCCACTCACATAGCCAACGCGCCACCCCATCATGCCATACGCCTTGGAGAAGGAGAAGATGTTGAGCACGTGAGGGCCCTCCAGACACACATGGCATGACTGTACCCCCCCAATCACTCACGCCTACCACTGGCCATCCAGTGTCCCTCCCACAGCTCACTCACACATCCCACTCGCCACTCACATAGCCAACGCGCCACCCCATCATGCCATACGCCTTGGAGAAGGAGAAGATGTTGAGCACGTGAGGGCCCTCCAGACACACATGGCATGACTGTACCCCCCCAATCACTCACGCCTACCACTGGCCATCCAGTGTCCCTCCCACAGCTCACTCACACATCCCACTCGCCACTCACATAGCCAACGCGCCACCCCATCATGCCATACGCCTTGGAGAAGGAGAAGATGTTGAGCACGTGAGGGCCCTCCAGACACACATGGCATGACTGTACCCCCCCAATCACTCACGCCTACCACTGGCCATCCAGTGTCCCTCCCACAGCTCACTCACACATCCCACTCGCCACTCACATAGCCAACGCGCCACCCCATCATGCCATACGCCTTGGAGAAGGAGAAGATGTTGAGCACGTGAGGGCCCTCCAGACACACATGGCATGACTGTACCCCCCCAATCACTCACGCCTACCACTGGCCATCCAGTGTCCCTCCCACAGCTCACTCACACATCCCACTCGCCACTCACATAGCCAACGCGCCACCCCATCATGCCATACGCCTTGGAGAAGGAGAAGATGTTGAGCACGTGAGGGCCCTCCAGACACACATGGCATGACTGTACCCCCCCAATCACTCACGCCTACCACTGGCCATCCAGTGTCCCTCCCACAGCTCACTCACACATCCCACTCGCCACTCACATAGCCAACGCGCCACCCCATCATGCCATACGCCTTGGAGAAGGAGAAGATGTTGAGCACGTGAGGGCCCTCCAGACACACATGGCATGACTGTACCCCCCCAATCACTCACGCCTACCACTGGCCATCCAGTGTCCCTCCCACAGCTCACTCACACATCCCACTCGCCACTCACATAGCCAACGCGCCACCCCATCATGCCATACGCCTTGGAGAAGGAGAAGATGTTGAGCACGTGAGGGCCCTCCAGACACACATGGCATGACTGTACCCCCCCAATCACTCACGCCTACCACTGGCCATCCAGTGTCCCTCCCACAGCTCACTCACACATCCCACTCGCCACTCACATAGCCAACGCGCCACCCCATCATGCCATACGCCTTGGAGAAGGAGAAGATGTTGAGCACGTGAGGGCCCTCCAGACACACATGGCATGACTGTACCCCCCCAATCACTCACGCCTACCACTGGCCATCCAGTGTCCCTCCCACAGCTCACTCACACATCCCACTCGCCACTCACATAGCCAACGCGCCACCCCATCATGCCATACGCCTTGGAGAAGGAGAAGATGTTGAGCACGTGAGGGCCCTCCAGACACACATGGCATGACTGTACCCCCCCAATCACTCACGCCTACCACTGGCCATCCAGTGTCCCTCCCACAGCTCACTCACACATCCCACTCGCCACTCACATAGCCAACGCGCCACCCCATCATGCCATACGCCTTGGAGAAGGAGAAGATGTTGAGCACGTGAGGGCCCTCCAGACACACATGGCATGACTGTACCCCCCCAATCACTCACGCCTACCACTGGCCATCCAGTGTCCCTCCCACAGCTCACTCACACATCCCACTCGCCACTCACATAGCCAACGCGCCACCCCATCATGCCATACGCCTTGGAGAAGGAGAAGATGTTGAGCACGTGAGGGCCCTCCAGACACACATGGCATGACTGTACCCCCCCAATCACTCACGCCTACCACTGGCCATCCAGTGTCCCTCCCACAGCTCACTCACACATCCCACTCGCCACTCACATAGCCAACGCGCCACCCCATCATGCCATACGCCTTGGAGAAGGAGAAGATGTTGAGCACGTGAGGGCCCTCCAGACACACATGGCGGTTACCATCGTACACGAAGTACCTGAGGTGTGTGGAGGACACACAGGAAAAGGGAAGCGAACTTTTGAGTCGACTCAAAAGTCAACTCGAAGTACCTTAGGGTGTTTGGAGGGCACACAGGAAAAGGGAAGCGAACATGGTTTTTGTTTCAGGCCTTTAACAAATCGCCTACCAAACACACAGGGCAGGTTACCACCGTACATAAATACCTGGGAGTGTGTGCTTGGAGAGGACAGCACAGGCCAAGGCAGACAAACGAGCACGTAGGCACCTCACTTATCAATCGCCCCCATGCACACATGGCGGTTACCATCGTACATGAGTGTTTGGAGAACAGTGCAAGACAGAGAGAACCCAACACAGGAATAACAGAATGTTTGCTAGCCGGCTGAAATAGTAACAGCATGCATTGTTATCACCATAAGGGGACGATACATGTACAGATACAAATATGTTTTGTACTTCTATATCTATGTATGGGCATGGGCGCTACCACTTTGTGGCAGTTCAAGGGGATGTGATGCATGTGTTACCACTTGAGGCAGCGAGCATACGTACTCGTAGGTGTTATCAAGCACCAGCCAGGAGCCAGCCTTCTCACATATAGCGGAGATTCTCTGTAATGGGGATAGGAAGATGTAAGGGTGGCACATGAAACAATTCATGGAGGTGGAAGAGGATGAGAGGAAAGAGAAAGCACGAAAGACCGAGGGAGGGAGGGAGGGAAGGAGGGTCGAGGGAAAGAGGGGAGAGGGGGCGAGGGAAGGAGGAGTAGGTAAGGGATCAGGAAACAATGGAAAAAAAGAGAGGTGGGGGGAGGATGAGGAGGAAGAGGAGGAGGGACGCAGGGGAAGGGAAGAGGGGGAGGAGGGAGGGGGATGGGGCGGGAAGAGGGAAGGTAAGGGGAGCTTAGGAGTCTTGATGACCACCACCCTGCTTGCATCTGGGGGCATTTCAAGTAAATACCCATGATAATGCAGGGTAAAAACGATTCATACCCGCAATAAGTCCTCTGGAACATAGGTTTCCGGTGGGGTTGTTGGGATTGGTAATCACCACCATCTTGCTCGCACCAGGGGGTGTTTCAAATAAATACGAAAATAATGTTGGGAAAAAACAATCCATACCCGCAATAAGTCCTCGGGAACGTAGGTTCCGGTGGGGTTGTTGGGATTGGTGATCACCACCACCTTAGGAACCTTCCTGCCCTCCTTCCCAGAAAGTGCATCCTCCAGCCAATCTGAACGTGCCACGTGGTAGCATGGGAGGAGTACAGAGGAAAAGGGGAGCAGAAGCATATGATAAGCATGGAAGAGAACTGGAAAGTTCAGGATTGTGTGGGAATTTGGAGGGAGGGCAAGATCTTGTGAGTAATCGGAGGGTGGGTAAGATCTTGTGAGGAAGTGGTGGGTGGGTAAGATGTGAGAGAGAGAACGACAGAAGGGGCTGTGAATCAAGAATCATCACACTCACTCACCAGCGCTGGGATGCAGGGTGTCGGAGTCACATGGCCCATACACAATGTCAGTGACACCAGTCATCTGAAACGCCATCTGGTGGTTGACTGAAGTGTAAGGGCTTGAAGCGGAGTGGCCTGTGACTCATAAAGAGATTCAAGTCTCAAGAGGCGACGCAAGCCTCGAGAATCATCTTACTCACCAACGCTGGGATGCAGGGTGTCGGAGTCACATGGCCCGTACACAATGTCAGTCACGCCAGTCATTTGAAACGCCATCTGGTGGTTGAAGTAGAACGGCTTGAAGAGGACCACTGAATCATCCGGGTCACACAGCGTCAGCACCACGTTCACAAAAGCCTGGGAACGGGTTGGGGATATAGGAGGGGAGACTTGGAGGGGTTCAGTTCAGGGAGGTTAGGATGTAGGAGAGAGGTTGAAGTGGAAAGGCTTGAAGAGCACCACTGCGTTGTCCGGGTTGCAGAGCGTCAGCACCACGTTCACAAACGCCTGGGGATCGGGGAGGGTAGGGTTGGATTAGTACTAGGTTTGTGACAGGCTACAGGGCCGGTGGGGCCCTGGATTGAAATAGAAAGGCTTGAAGAGCACCACTGCATCGTCCGGGTCACAAAGCGTCAGCACCACGTTCACAAACGCCTGGTGATTGGGGATACAAGAGGGGAAAGTTGGGTTGAAATTAGGGTTGTGAGAGGATACGGGACTAGGGAGGCTGGATTGCAGGAGAATACGTGAAGTAGAAAGTGTCTACAAGCATCATCTGGGTCACAGCGAAACGCCTGGGGTGGAAGGGCAGGAATACGGAAGGGCAGGTTAGGACATGTGCACTGTCCACATGGTTAGTGGGCATGTGCATTCCCTTTTTCTCAGTGTCTCACCTGGTTGGCCCCAGCAGTGACCATGATAGAGGAATCCATGAGCCCATTCTCCCTCTTCAGTTTCTCCACCAGCACTGCTCTGAGCTCCATGGTGCCATCGTCCACTCCGTACCCGCTGTTCACAGGGGCATGCACCGCTGCCTGCTGCAAGGACTGCTGCCCGCACTGCTGCCTGTGCTGCTGCCTGCGCTGCTCACCTGAATGCCTACAAATTCGGGCCTTGGCTTTCCCTCACCTGGTTGGCCCCAGCAGTGACCATGATAGACGAGTCCATGAGTCCATTCTCCGCCTTAACTTTCTCCACCAGCGCTGCTCTGAGCTCCTTGGTGCCATCGTCCACTCCGTACCCGCTGCTCACAGGGTCATGCACCGCTGCCTGCGCTGCTGCCAGGACTGCGTCAGGTGGTAACCAGTACACCACGCCCTGGCCCAGCGACATGACGTCAGGGTTGAGCGTCATGAGGTCCCGCATCTGGAGAGGGTGGGCGAGGGAAGAGGGGTGGAGGGCAGGGGAGGAAAGGGGGAGATATGGGGAAGGTAGAGATGGGAAAGATAGATGGAGGATAGAAAGGAAATGAACGTCAATTGCGCAGTTAAGCACTGGTGCCTGCGCTGCTCCCAGGGTCATGCACTGCTACTTGGGCTGCTGCCAGGACTGCGTTGGGTGGTAACCAGTCCACCACGCCCTGACCCAGCGACATGACGTCAGGGTTGAGCGTCATGAGGTCCCGCATCTAGAGAGAATGGGGGAGGGGGGTGAGATAGGGGAAAGAGATGGAGAAGAGGGACGGGGGAGAGGAGAGATGAGAGGGAAGGATAGCGGAAAAAGAGAGGGAGAAGAAAAGGGAAAGCGACAGAGAAGAAATGGAGATATTAGACGAACAAAAGTTATGAGGTTCTGTCAATCCACAATGGCCACGGATCGTCTAAGCTTCACTAAAATGGCTAAAAAAAAACAACTAAAATGACTAAAACAAAAGGCCCAAAAGAAGAAACAATAACGGACCTGTACAATAACGGGTTCGTCGGTATTCACGATCCGGCGGGATAGCTTCGCCATGGGTACAGCAGTTCCCGCTACAGCAGCCGCAGCGGCTGCGGAACCTGGCGTTCCATCCATGGCGGCTTCTGCTGCTACGCGAAACTGCCGCTTATCTTTGCTGCTCCAATCACGTGCAGCTTCTGGTCTAGACTGACGGCCTGAGGGTCGGAAAACGGCGGGGATTGAGCTTCGGATGTGTGCACGGCCGTGGGTAAAAGATCGGAGAAACGATGCACTGGAACGAGGAACGCTGCGGGTAACCAGGCGAGTACTACGAGAGTTGGCTGGATTAGCAGCAGCGGACGGAAGGACTGGATTTGTGTTGCTGGGAGAGCCACGGACGGCCGTGGTGCTGACGTGGATCAGAGAACTATTCGGCAAGCCCGAGATTGGCTTGACAATGCTTTTCTCGAACGGGGTGATGAAACGCGAGAGGCGAGCCGCGGAGTTCTCGAGGGGGATGGCGGTACGAACCAACATCAGGGGAGGCCCGCGAGAAATGACACGGCAGTGCGGTGTCGAAACGAACGTAACGTACTCGAAGAAGTATGTGTGCTGTGCCGTCACCTGCGCTGCACTGCAGTCGTGCGTCCCAGATTGTTACGACAGCACTGGGAATGTCGGTCAGTCTGACTGACACTCGCCTGATGACGATGATGCTGCAGTGCAGGAGGCAATTTAGGCGAATGGAATGTAATTGATAGTGAAAACCGACGGTGGGAAGAAATTTATCTGAGCAAAGCTCGAGGTTATCTCTAGCGCACCTCCACTCCATCCTACACCATACTCTCTCCCCCAAACACTGCTGAATTTGGGAACATCTCAGCGGAAACGGGTCGTCAAGCCTGACAAAAAAAAAAAACTAAACCCCTATCGGATGGCATGCCATCCGAGGGAGGCATCAACCCTAAATCCATGCCTCCCTGTGTTTAGGGTTGATGCCTCCCTGACCGGATGCGTGCCCGAATGGGTTTTATTTTTTTTGCCCGCGGGCAGCGAGCTCCCCCGGGCGGACTCGCTTGTCCGCTGAGATATATTCGGCGATACCGAGCAGCAGGGCTCTGGCTAGGTTTTTGGCCTGTCTGAAAAAAAAGTACGGAAAAAAATTGGTCTGAAGGAAATATGAGCAAAGTTGGTGGTCTGATTTTCCAGATGAAACATAAACAATTGTCTGAATTTTTCGACAAAATGTTACTACTATGGGACTGCCGTTGCTCCTGCTGCTGATGCTCCTGCTCTAGAACGCTCCCAGTGGCAGACTCGTGATGCTGCTGCACGCCTAGCTATTAGGAACCACCCGCCGATTACTGAGCGAGCGCATTTCAGCCAGCACAGAACTGCTCAGACACTGTACGACGCTGTAGTTGCGCGCTACTCCTCCCCGACCACTGCAGCCATAGGTCGACTCATGCTACCGTACCTGTTCCCCGATCTTTCCTCGTTCACCACTGCTGAGGACCTAGTTTCTCACCTGCGCGCTACTGACTCTCGCTTTCGTGCCGCCCTTTCAGCCGAGTTCTGCGCCGCAACCCCCCCCCCCCCCCCCCCCCGATGTACTTCACTCTCTATTTCCTCGTTACCCGCCTCCCTGACACTCTTAGCTCTGTCAGGGACCACTTCCTAGCGCTAGACCCCACCACTCTCACTGTAGACGACTTCGAGAAGCACCTCCTCGCAGCAGAGAAGAACATCCTCGCTGTAGGTGCTGCTCGTGGCACTCCTCGCTCTCCCCTCTTTGAGGGGTGCTCCCCCTCCCCTCTCACCCCCTCCTATGCCTCCGCAGCTGCTGCTCACGACTACCTTGGTGCTGAGGGGGTCGGAGCTGCTTCCGCTCCCAGTGGGAAGCGTCGCAGCGGCAGGGGCGGCAGGGGTGGCAGGGGCGGTGGGGGTGGAGGTGGTGGAGGTGGTGGAGGTGGTGGAGGTGGAGGCGGTGGTGGGGGTGGTCGTGGGGGTGGAGGCGGTGGTGGTGGTGGTGGGGGCGGCGGAGGCACTGGGAGCGGTGGAGGCGGCAGCAGCGGAGGTGGGGGAGGAGGGAGCAGTGGTGGCAGTGGTGGTCAGGGCCAGCAGCAGCCGCAGCAGCAGCAGCAGCCGCAGCAGCAGCAGCAGCATCAGCATCAGCGCCAGACCCCCACTTCCCAGCAGCTTCTTGACTGGTATGCCGGGCGTGGGGCTTCTGGGGGTCCTGGTCGCTGCCCCTATATCATCCGCACAGGTCCCCGCGCTGGTCGCCAGTGCACAGGTTTTCACACTGAGCAGCGCTGCTTCGCTCGGCTTAGCGACGCCTGGCGCGCCAAGTTTCCTGATGCTACTGAGTTCCCCAACTGGGCAGACTTACTTAGGCGTGATGTACCTATCATTGATCTTGACTATGAGGCAATTCTTGCTGCTATGTATGCCTTGTCTGTTAGTGCTGAGGGTGACTGCTACTTGTGTGTGCCGCCGGATCCTGGTATAACCCCTGGTATAGCCCCTGCAGCACTAGGTGCTTGTGAGTCTGCTCCCCTTGGTACTGCGCCTGCACAGGCTTTGCACACCTTTACACTTGACTCTGGTGCTTCCCGCTGTTTCTTTCGCGACAGTACCACAGTCACTCCCCTCCCTGCACCTGTTCCTGTCTCACTGGCTGACCCCTCTGGGGGCCCAGTGCTTGCACGGTCTTCCACTGTGCTTCCGTGTCCGGCGGTCCCGTCTGGTGAGCTGTCTGGTCTCCACCTCCCCTCGTTCTCTACGAACTTGGTGAGTAACGCTGTCCTCCAGGATGCGGGGGTTGACACCTTCACCCCTGGCCGGCAGCGTGTGGCGATTTGCATGTGCTCCCAGACTGGTCGCCACCTGGCCACGTTCGCTCGTGCGCCGGGGTCCAGTCTGTACACCCTCACCACTGCGTCACACTCCGCCCCTTTGTCTCCCCAGTTACACGCGTCTGCTCAGGTAGCTACACAGTGTGAGTGTCGACGGCTGTCGCACGACACTCTCCTGTGGCACCACCACCTTGGTCACCCCTCCCTGCCTCGCCTACGCAGCATGCACTCCCGCCTCCTGGTTTCTGGGCTTCCCAGGTCTCTGCCTCCCCTCCCTCCCTCGTCTGCGCTGCCCTGCATTCCCTGCGTCGAGGGGCGGCAGCGCGCCGCTCCTCACTCCTCCTCTTTCCCTCCCACAGAGGCTCCACTGCAGACTCTCCACCTGGACCTGTGGGGCCCAGCCCGCGTCCGTGGACAGGGCCACGAGCGGTACTTCCTGCTGGTTGTCGACGACTACACGCGCTACACCACGGTCTTCCCCTTGCAGCGCAAGGGGGATGTCCCTGATGTTTTGATCCCCTGGATCCGCGCTACTCGTCTCCAGCTCCGCGAGCGGTTCCAGTCGGACTTTCCTGTCCTGCGTCTGCACTCTGATAGAGGTGGTGAGTTTTCCTCAGACCTCTTGGCAGCCTTCTGTGCGGAGCACGGCATCCGCCAGACTTTCACGCTTCCGGCCTCTCCTCAGCAGAATGGGGTTGCTGAGCGCCGCATTGGCTTAGTCATGGAGGTCGCTCGTACCTCCATGATCCATGCGGCTGCCCCCCATTTTCTGTGGCCGTTTGCGGTCCGGTACGCCGCGCATCAGCTCAACCTTTAGCCCCGTGTCTCCTTGCCGGAGACCTCGCCCACACTGCTGTGGACGGGGAAGGTTGGCGACGCGTCGCGTTTCCGGGTCTGGGGTGCTCGTGCCTTTGTCCGCGATACCACCGCGGACAAGCTCTCCCCTCGCGCCATTCCTTGCGTCTTCCTTGGCTTTGTCCCTGACGCACCTGGCTGGCAGTTTTACGACCCCGCCTCGCGCCGTGTCTTTGCGTCTCAGGACGTCACCTTTGACGAGTCCGTCCCCTTTTACCGCCTCTTCCCCTACCGCACTGCTCCTCGCCCCCCCCCGCCGCTCTTTCTCGCCCCAGGTCCTCCCCAGGTAGACCCCCTCCCCGCGCCAGGTCCTGCTCCTTCAGGTGTCTCTCAGGTAGACCCCCCCGCGCCTGCACCTGTTGAGGTCACTGGTGACTCCGGTCCTGCTGCGAGTGGTGCTGTCCCTGGGGGTGCGGAGCTTGGGGGTGCTGAGTCTGGGGGCGCTGAGCGTGAGGAGCCTGGGGGTGCTGCGTCTGGAGGTGCTGCGTCTGGGGGTGCTGAGCCTGCGTGTGCGGAGCCTGGGGGTGCTGAGTCTGGGGGTGAGTCGCCTGAGGGTTCTGCGACTGCTTTTCCGCGGTCTCCTTGGAGCAGCCGTCTTCGTCCGCGTGTGCCCCTCACCTCCCAGCAGCTGCACGACTGGTACGGTCGCCGTCAGCGTCGCGCTTCTGCACCTCAGGGCTCTACTGCTGGGGGTTCTTCTGCTGGTGTCGCTGGTCCCGGAGGTGCTCGTACTGAGGGTACTGGAGCTGCTGGGGCTGGCGGTGTTGTGACTGAGGGTACTGGCGCTGCAGAGGGTGCTGGAGCTGCTGGAGGTCCTGGAGCTGCTGGAGGTGCTGGCGGTGATGGAGCTGCTGAGGGTACTGGAGCTACTAGCGGTGCTGGAGCTGCTGAGGGTACTGGAGCTGCTGGAGGTGCTGGACCTGCTGAGGGTCCTGGAGCTACTGGCGGTGCTGGAGCTGCTGGAGGTGCTGGAGCTGCTGGTGCTGGTGGCACTGCTCAGCAGGGCCTGTTCTTCGCTCCGCCGTCTCCGTCGTCTCAGCCACCACCTGACTCTGCACTTCGCCAGGTTCTCGTTCTTCCCTCGTCTACTGGTCTTCCGTTACAGCCTGGCTCACCGCTGCCTGCTCCTTCCCCGTACACAGAGCAGACTAGGGGCCTTGCTGAGCGTCGTGAGCCTGCGTCGCGTCCTGTCTCACCTGTCCGTTCTGGTCGTTCCGGTCGTCGTGTTCCTCGTCAGCGGCAGCCGGCTGTCTCCGGCTCTCACCTTGTAGTTCGTCGTCCTTCCTCTCCTCCGCTGCGTGTTCCTCTGCCGTCTCACCCTGCGTCATCTCTGCCTGTCGTTGCTGACCCTGCGTCTGACCAGTTTCGTGCTGAGCACTCTACTGTCACGCGTCTGCTTGCCACTGTTGTCACTGACCCGTCGTTTGAGTCTGCTGCTGCGTCTGCCTTAGTCGCTGAGCTTGTTGACTTTGCTGCTGCTTGTCGTCTCGACTACGCTGCCAGTCTTGTTGCTGAGTCTGAGTCTGTCTGTCCTCCGTCCGTCGGGGGTGAGTGTGCTCTTGGCACGGACGTCCTTGAGGACAGGCAGGAGGACCTTGAGTGTCTTGCAGCCGCTGCGCCTCATCTCGTATCCATGCTGCTTGCCCCTGAGGGAGACCCGGATGCACCAGATATCCCTACCCCGCGCTCTTACGCTGAGGCGATCGCGGGTGAGTACTCCTCTCAGTGGCAGACAGCCATGGACGCAGAGATGGCATCCTGGAAGTCCACAGGCACCTACGTCGACGAGGTTCCCCCTCCTGGGGCGAACATTGTTAGTGGCATGTGGATTTTCAGGGTGAAGCGGCCGCCAGGTTCTCCGCCTGTCTTCAAGGCTCGGTACGTGGCTCGAGGCTTCAGTCAGCGAGAGGGAGTTGACTTCTTCCAGACCTTCTCCCCCACCCCGAAGATGACCACTCTTCGGGTGCTGCTGCACGTTGCCGCTCAGCGTGACTACGAGCTTCACTCTCTTGACTTCAGCACAGCCTTCTTACAGGGCAGCCTGCACGAGGAGATTTGGCTGCGCCGCCCTCCTGGCTTCACTGGGTCGTTCCCTCTTGGTACCTAGTGGAGCCTCCGGCGGCCGGTCTACGGTCTCCGCCAGGCGCCACGTGAGTGGCACGACACACTGAGGACTACACTTGCGGCTCTTGGGTCTGCTCCGTCGACTGCTGACCCATCGCTGTTTGTGCGCACCGACACTTCTCTGCCGCCGTTCTACGTTCTCGTGTACGTCGACGACTTGGTCTTTGCCACTGCTGACACTGAGGCTCTCGCCCTGGTGAAGTCGGAGCTGTAGAAGAGACACACGTGCACAGACCTGGGTGAACTGCGCAGCTACCTTGGCTTGCAGATCACCCGGGACAGAGCACGCCGCACCATCACACTGACTCAGTCACACATGGTGCAGCAGGTCCTTCAGCGCTTCGGTTTCACCTGGTCCTCAGCACAGGCCACTCCTCTGGCTACAGGTCACTCGCTCTCAGCTCCACCTTCGGACGAGTCCGTAGAGCCGAGTGGTCCTTACCCAGAGTTAGTGGGCTGCCTCATGTACCTGATGACTTGCACTCGTCCTGACCTTGCGTACCCTCTTGGCCTTCTGGCTCGCTACGTGGCTCCTGGTCGGCACCGAAAGGTGCACATGGATGCTGCCAAGAGGGTACTACGCTACTTGTGCAGTACATTGGGCATGGGGCTCGTGCTTGGAGGACGGGGTGATGTTATCCTCACAGGTCACTCGGACGCCTCTTGGGTTGACGACCAGACTACGCAGCGGTCGTCACAGGGTTACACCTTCAGCCTTGGTTCTGGTTCAGTTTCCTGGCGTTCTACACGTTCGTCTTCAGTTCTCGGCTCCAGCTGTGAGGCAGAGATCTACGCCACAGCCATGGCTGCACAGGAGCTGCGCTGGCTCACCTACCTGCTGAGCGACTTGGGAGAGAGGCCTCGTTCTCCTTCAGTTCTGTACGTCGACAACAAGGCCGCCATTGCCTTGTGTCAGGAGCACAGACTGGAGCACAGAACAAAGCACATCGCTCTCCGTTACTTTCTTGCTCGAGAGCTGCAGCAGCGTGGCCAGCTTCGCCACTCGGGCCAACACTGCTGATATATTCACCAAGGCGCTTCCGCCTGGTGATCATCAGCGTTTCTGCACTTTGTTAGGCCTTGTGCCCACTCTTCCTCACTTGCTGTAGGCTTTGCTTGTACCATGATTTATATGTATTCCTGCATGCTTGTTCTTGTAGGTAGATATCACTGTACTGTTGTTGTTACATATATATTTCTGCATGTGAATTGGCCTTGTGGCCTTCTTGCTTGTGCTCAGACTGCGTGGTGACGTTGTGATCCACCCTGAGCTTACTTTGCACTTCCTGACTGGTCTTGTGACCCTCTGTTCTCCCCCACTTTGCCTATGGGGGTGTGTCAAACATATGTGTATATTTGTTGTAGTTTGGTTAGGCTTAGTGGGGTACTCACTGTGGGGTACAACCCCTTAGGTTTCTACTTTGTATCTTTCCCTTCGATAGTCGACACCCAATTTTCCCGTAAAGATTCTAACACGACTGTCACGACGTGGCCACGCGTCATTCCACGGGTCAATGTGATTTGCGCGGAAATACGTCGCGCCGATCCTAAATGTCGGCACAATCCACGCGGCGAACAACGACTTGCTAGTGCATATACAGGTGTCGAGCATCCACGGAAGCCAGGGATCGCGGGAAAAAAACCCCCCCGCATCTTGCAATGTCGGTGTCGCCCAAAGATCCAGCGGCTGCTGCACTATCCACGCGGCATAATTCGATCGGACCCTTAGATAGCTAGGTGAAGCGAATCCACCTATCCCACAGGGAATGTCGGCGTCGATCAACGGGATGACACGCGGCTCTGCACAGGTCGGTAACGTTTGCGTGGGAAGTCGGCCGCTACGGCATATCTGGAGAGTGGAACCAGTGATTGGCCTAGACCACGTGGCTCCCGCAAAATCCACCGTGAAATGGCACAGGCTTGGGCTCATTGAGTGCAGCGCGGCGTGACACTAGCCATGCATGGATCGTGGCATAGTGGCGCTTGCAAAGAGGGTTGCGTGGAGCGCGGCAGGTGCGGAGTCGCTCACAACCATGTCCCTCCTTGACCATGCAAAAGGTCCTCATTCTGCTGTCTGTCTGTGTTCCTTCCCTCGTATTGCGTGCGGTCTCTGGCACTTAGAATTTTCCCCACCCTCACTATCTTCACGTGTGTAGGTTACTCGGGCGCCGACCAGCCGATCTCGTCGGCACAGTTCGCGTCGACCTGGCAGAGACGGACCAAGTCGGTGTTGAGGTCGACGACCGGTCGTCGACTTCGCTGTAGGAGGTTTTAGGGCAGCATCTCGTAAAGTCGGCGCAGTACCAATAGCTCTACTGACCAGACCAACCAAGACGGGACAACACAACCTTACTGAGTCGGCGACGCATGGCCAGAGGACGGCCTAGTGCCCAACAGCCGCAACCCATCCCACCCCCTGCCGACACTGTAGACGCCGACATCAAAGCGCAGCTGGAACGTGCAGAGATCGTCGCTGAGTTAGAAGCACTTGAGAGGGAATTCGAGCTTGACGCCCGCGCAACGGATAGGGCGTACACAGCTCCCGTGACTCAGTACCGTCTATGGTGGCCCAACCTTTACCTCGCAGAGGGACCACGGTAGAGCAACCAACGGGCGGCCACATGGCCGACGTCGACACGTCCGACGTTGGTCCCCCAATCGAGCACAATCCGACCTCTACCCCCAAAGAGACGCTGAAGTTACTCTACGATCTTGACGCACTGACTCAGATTCCGGAAGGGGAGTTCACCAAGGACATTCCCCCACCGCTGATAAGGGAGTTTACGAAGCCAGCTAGTAAGTCGACCCCGACGCAAGATGGGCAGCCTGGACCTTCGTCGGTGCCAGACGGCGCTGAAAACCAGGGTGATGACGACGACGACGACGAAGAGAGCGACGACAAATATGACGAGAGCGTCCCTCCGCGTTGCACAAATCCGTGCACCTTGGAAGAACGCCTCAGGCGGGAACTTGAATACATCGATGGCATGTTCGAATAGGACGAGGAGGAGGACGAGCAGAACATGGCGGTGCCACGCGATCAGTGGAGGGCGGCAGACTTCGTCGAGGACGACATGGTTTACGCGTGCATCGACGTGCTTATCATGGACGCCCTACGCCACCTACAAACCTTGGAGAAAAGAGCACGCTAAGGCTGTACACCTCGTGGATCTACCACTACAAGAGGTGGGTGGCGAAGATGCTGAAGCAGATTCGCGACAAGCTTCTCCAGGAGCACCGACTTAGACACGCCGACGAGATCGGCCACTACATACACGCCAACAAGAAGAAGGATTGGGACAATGAGCCCAAGGTCCCCCGGAAGTACATCTGGCTGCACGGCCCTAGGGTCACCGAAACCCGGCTGCGCGCCTACGTGAAGTTCATGAGACGTGAGTGTAAGCTCGATGCCTAGTCGATCGAGGAGGGGAACAATGCCACGCGAACCCAGCCTGCGCAAGCTACAACGGTGCACACGCTCCTCGGGCGCATAAAGGCATGCCAGATGGCGGCGAGGGTGGAGGCGACGCTCTACCGGGAGAAGGAGCTGGGCATCATGCGGGAGATCTCGGTGGTCGGATCGGAGGTGTGGGTCATGGTCCGCACCAAAAATGAGAGGGACCTCAAGTAAGTTAGTCGACACCGCCAACCTCAGTCCTCCACTGACGAAGTCGACGCCGTCAAAATATACACTGTTGCTTTGTGGGCAGGAATTGCGCTGATCAGCGTGCGGCACTATCGGCGATACCTACACCGCTGAACAGTTCCGTCAGATCATGATGAAGGTGCTGCCGACATGGGCGGGGTCGGCGTGGAACCCGCGGGCAACCACTCCTTCGCAGACGCTGTGGAGATTTCTGCTCACCAAGGTGCGCACGCTACTCTCCCACCACACTCTCCTGCGAGGTGCCAGCATCCGCGAGATCACGCTCCCCGACATCTTCTTGTACCGAGTGCTAGCACCTCGTCGGTGAACCCGGAGAACCAGCCGGTCGTCATGGTGATCGCCGTGCGGAACTCGAAGACTTCCAAGGATGCCCGTCTTCAGCAGAGCTACACGGTGCAACATCTGGAAGCGGAGTTGTGCGCCGTCGGCGAGACCGGCCTGTGGTTGCACTTCATCCTCGACCAGATCGGTCAGTTCCACGGCGTCGACTTCCTTCCGCCGCTGGACACCACCAAACGCGAGCGCTGGTACAAGAAGCACCTCTTCTTCGCACGCAACGACAAGGAGCAAAAAGAGCTCTCCGCCGCCAGCCACCAACGTTGGACGCGACAGTTGTGGACGACCAACAAGATGTTACGCAAGCGGAACGTGCAAGCCGCTCACGCCGGAGGTGCGCAGGAGCCAGCCATTGAAGGGACGCCTCGCGCCGAGATCGCCGAGCTGGGTCACTGGGCACTCGACAAGATGACGCGAGCTTACATCACAGCCGTTCCCGTGGGGGTGGTGATGAGGAAGGCCGGCTACTCGGGTGCCAAGCAAGACTACTTCTTGGGTCGTAGCAGTGTGGAACCTTCCGCCAAGCTCTATGACATCATCGCCGAGCACATCTTCCCCGGCGTGGATGCTCTGCTACGCGATGTATGTTAAGCGACGCCGACAATGTCGTTACGTTGCCATACCTTCGTTGGCTGCCCAACACCTTACTAACCCACGTCACTTGCCGACTTGCAGGTGGAAACGCGTGCTGCCAAGGGGTCCGACGCCGACAAAGCCGACGTGCACTTCTGGCGTACCCTCCAGATGATGCGCCGCATCGTCGCCGAGGACCTTGCGGTGAAGCTCGTTCGCACACCGTGGCACCCGTACGCCCAAGGTTCCAAGCTCTACTGGATTGCCCTCTTCCAGCACTGGGCGAAAGGGTCGAGAAGGTCGACACCGAAACGATCAACAAGCGCCGGGACCCGACCCTGATTCAGCCAGAGGTGAGATGACGATAATGTCGGCGTCGAGCTGTTACGAGTGTATTCTAAACTCTGTTCGCCTTTCCGCCTACCACTGCAGGAGATCTATGTCTGTTGGACACAGAATACCACAATATGTCCCTCAAGCAGACGCTATTGTACGAGAGGGAGCGCTCCGCGGTCGAGAAGATTGACCTTCAGGAGGAGATCGAGAAGCGCGACGATACCATAGAGACGCTGACCGCCGAGATAACCCGTCTCACTAAGGCACTCCGTGTGTCAGAAGCACAGAGGATGCCGGCGGTGCCGCCGTTGGCAAACGAGCAAGCGCCGAGCGAGGGTGGCTCCGCGGATTCGGCCAATACGGGGGCCGGAGCCAAGAAACGGGATGAGAAACCCCCGAAACCCCCACAGACGGTCGACGAGGCTCGTTAACAGCTCAACGTGGTGCAACCTTGGCGGGAGGCAACGAGCGTGAGGGACGCTTCGCGCCTTTGGAACTCCGCCACCGCCGATGACACCCGTCGTCTTTGCGACAGGGTCGCCGAGCCGGAATTCGTTGACCGCCACACCCTCCTCAAAGGCGCGACGCAGGGTGCATACGACATGAAGGTGTGCCGCATGCTGAAGGCCATGGATGCAGTGCGCCTTCTTCGCTCGAGCGACGGCGATGCCGACACCGAAATCGTCGTCGCTGCACTGAACAAGATCGCGTCGCCGGGAATTGGGACCTTCTGCGATGCCCTCACGGTGCTCAAACCGGGTTCGGCACCGACGTACTCCAAGGAGCCTGGCATGGGAGTCAAGGAGCTGGGCCCCAAGACGGTCCCGAAGCTACGTCTCGCCTGTGCACTGGTGGCGCTCAACTTGAAGCCAAGAGCTTGGGTCGCCGCCCTGTTTCCAGACACCTGGGAGGAGCAGATGTCGAAGACCGTGGCCGACATGGCCAAGCAGACCGCACCTGTGCAGCGTCCTCCGACAAAGCGCAAGAAGGCGGCATGAATAATTTTGGAGCATATGTGTGTGCGTAGTTTGATGCTATAATTGTGGTCGACTTTAACAAACCATACTGCTTATATTGTTCCGGAAGTTGCTAAACAACACAAACCTAAGGCGCAGAACAGGACCCATGCGATCCTAGATGATCCAACAAAGGTAAATACAGTCGGACGCCGACCAACAAGCAACCCGAATACACTTGCAGAGAGCCAAACCCTCTATGTCGACAGACACCGTACGATGCCGGCGTGTTGACGGACTCCGAATGGCACGCCGACTAGGTTCATCGCCGAGTAGTGTGTGAGTGTGCAATTCAGAGGGTAGTGATCAGGTCGACATCGCAGACGAGGGTTCAAGTTGTTTTTTCAATTTGTCGACAGCAGATAAGCAAACACAAACAAAAAGTTACATTTGCTAGATCCAACAAAAGAACTACGCAAACGGCTCCGCCCAGACCAACATGTTATACACCCTAGCAAGCAGACCACCTAGCGCTCCCTCCGCCCGCCGACTACGCCGCCATGCTGTCCTTGCCCTGCTTGCCCTTCTGCCTCTTCCTTCCCATGCTGTCCTTGCCCTTCTTGACCTTCTCCCCCTTCCTCCCCCTGTGCTCCACATCGTATTCCATCTGCACATCGCACGGCACAGTGACGCCGAGCTCTTCGAGTTTGGGCGCGGCAACGACACATATTCCCTAGAACGCCATGGTCTCTATCGTCGCTCGTGCGATCACGTCGGCCTCGACTCCCACAACACCTTCCTTAAAGGCCCTCTCTAGTGCCTGACTCTGCAACGCCGGCGCGACATTGTGGGCAACCTCCCCTTCGAATGGCTCCCTCTCGATCTCGACCTCCAACACCGACTGCATGACCGTCTTGAATACATCGGCGGTCTTCTCACTCGCACCTGCCACCATCGCCGCCGCCTTCCCTTCGCCCACAGCATCGAGCACCGACGACGAATCGGTCTCGACGAAGCACCACACGGCGAAAGCGGACGCCGCTAATGCCTAGGCCGACATCTCCGTCTTCTCATATGTGTCTCTTGCCTTCCTCGTCGTGCTCGCAGCGACCTTCCCAAATGCAGCACACATGGACACGTGACCTATCATGTCCGACATCATAGCAGACGACTTCTCCTTGCCTTCCTTCGTGTCGTCATTGATGGGGAACCAGATCGCCGGCAAGAGAGCGTCGTGGAGCGCATCGCCAGAGCTCTTATACACTCGATACTTGTCGAGTATATTATCGAACCTGTCACGCAAACACAGCAAACCGGGCGACCATAAGTGACTCCGACTTCGTCATCATCACTCGGCCCATGGGTAGCCGACTCACCGTGTTTTTGGAAGGTATGCGCCGCGGGCCCATATCACCGTCCACATCCCAGTCGGCAGGATCCTAACCTCCTCCCACACCTTCCTCCATTTCTCCAACTCGATTTTCTCCAAGACGGTGAGCTCGTCGATGAGGACCTTGCTTACGTAACCGTCGTAGACGATGTACGCAATCGAGTGCAGGTACGCCAGCTCCATCTTGTCGCGCGACTTGCCGATGTATCGCGACGCGCTGACCAGCTTAATCTCGCCCACCCACCCTTGTCCGTCGCCCGAACTGTCGTGCCGGATGCCATGACCCTTCCGTTCCTTCTCCTTCTCCTTTCCATTCTTCACCGACTTCCCCTCGCCGACCGACTTCTCCTCCTGATTCTCTGCCGCCTTCTCCTTCCCTTTCGTTGCCGACTTCTCCTAATTCTCCTCCGCCTTCTCCTGCCCTTTCTTCACCGATTTCTCCTTGCCAACCGACTTCTTCTCCTGAATCTCCTTCGATTTCTTCTTCCCTATCTCGTCCGACATCGCCCGTGTTTTCCTCTGAGAGCTCGACTTCCCTTTCCCTGTGTCGGCCTTCCCCTTCCGTTTCAACTTCCCCTAGCTGACAGCATCAGTGGCCGTCGTTGGCTCCGCCGAACCATTGGCGGGACTCTCCGAGGGCTCCACATGTGCTATGTCCGATATGGCCAGTGTTTGGGGTTGCCCGGTGCGTTTCACTGCATCCAGGTGGGCCTGGATGGCAGCGATATCCGAATCGTGGACGACCTCCTCAACAGCGCCACTGCCGGTGGCAAGCGCGGCACGCACACCCTTCTCTGCCGCATCATCGACATCGGCTGCCACGGGAGTGGGTGCAGTAACATTCCCCGATGTCAGCATTGCGCTAGAGCCCGCTGCTTGCTGAGGTGGGGTTGGCACTGCCGCTCGTTGTGCGCCCAACTGAGCGCGCGGCAAAGCGGACTTCGAGTCTGCGAGAGACCGGGCGGCTCCGGCCGGCACTACACGTGGTGCACTGGATGATGGCACGGTGACGATGGGATCGGCCGAGCGACGTGTTGCATTGACAGGGGGAGGAGGCTATTGCACAGCCTTGCGGCTGGCAAGGAGCTGGAGCTGGGCCTTGAGCGCGTTCTCGGCAGCCGCCCCTTTCCCTGCGCAGCGAGCCGCTGAAGCATTCACTGCGTTCTTGGCGGCAGACGGGACGGCAGCAGGGGGCGGCACGTCGCCTTTGGCGGCAGAAGGGCCAGTCGGAGAGCGGCCACCGGCGGGAGGTTGGTGAATCGGTGACGCCGCTGCTACCTCGGCATTCGGCCCCTGGCTGGTTCTCGCGACACCACCTGTCGCCGTTTTCGTGGCTGGGATCTCCTTTCCCTTTCCCTTTCCGTCGCTCACACCTTTCCCACCGCTCGCCTGATGAGGTGGCTTCTCGGCGACCAGAGGCAGTGCACTTGGCACAGCGTCGTGTTCGGCATTCTCGTCGGCAGGACACCCATCTGCACTCCCCCCTCCATCGCCCTTGCTTTGCGATCCAATAGTAGCCCAGTGCTTCTTCAGGATGTCGACAACGCTCGTAGATTGCTTCCCTGAACCACCATGACCCTCCGCGACGGCGACGCGGCCCTCTCCAGATCCCTTACTCTGCTTCATGCTCGCCGAATCGTCTCCGTCTCCCCCGCCGCCTCCGCCCGACGCCAAGCTCTCAACCCGTCCCCTCTGTTCACCGAGCCGCTATTCCAGGCGTGCATTATCGGCCCTCAAACGCCTGTTTTCTTTTCGCAGCAGCTCGACGACGTCTAGCGGTGCCTGCCGACCAGAAGCGGAGGAACCGGGATGACCGCGCGCCGACTTGTCCCCCCCAGCCTTCCGACTGGATGCCTCGGTAGGTCCTTCCACGCCGGTCTACTTCGTGGCCGCGGCGTTATCCCCTTCTCTGACGGCCTCGAGGTCGACAACTTCTGTCGCGTCGCCAACCACATCGCCGACCACGACCTTCCCACTCCCCCCGTGAGCTGCCTCATCCGTCGATGCCCCCACACTGACCTCCTCTATCTCATTCGCCGACATCCTACCATTCCCCTCACCCTCTTTCTCATCATCTGCCGACCTCCCTCCCTTTTCCTCCGCTCCATCCTCCACGTACTCGACCTCCAACTCCACATCTTCTTCCTCCTCCTCCTCCTCCTCCTCCTCCTCCTCCTCCTCCTCCTCCTCCTCCTCCTCCTCCTCCTCCTCCTCCTCCTCCTCATCATCATCCTCCTCCTTCTCCTTCACCTCCTCATGTTCCTCCTGGTCCTCATCACCATCCTCATGGTCCTCCTCTTCGTTGTGCTTCTCCTCGGTCCCCTTCACCCCCCTTCCTGCCTCTGCATCAGCCTCGCCGACACTGCCTCTACGCTCAGCGATGGTGGGGGCGACACCTCCTGCTTGGGATGCCATATGGGTGTACTCGCCGTCGTCGTCACATGCGTCGGGAGCAACTAAACCCGACGACGTCGCCACCGCTAAACCCCGTTTAACATCGACGTGTTCCTTGAGGTAGCCAACCATCCCATTCAGCAGCCCCTTCAATGCCGAAATGTTGACCTTCTCAATGCTAGTCACACTGCGGCGGAGGGCGCCGGTCAGGAGATCCATCCGCATCACCACCCAGCTTAACGCACTCATTGCTAGCAGGCCGGATCCTGCATCCCCGTCCCGGACAGTATCGGGCACCTTCTCCATACAACAGTTGCCAGAGCGCAAGGATGAGCATCACGTTCGGAACTCACATCGCGCACGGATAATGAACAATAGGTCGATAAAGCGTTCGGAACTCACATCGCGAACAGGGTGATCGCAGTCGGCAAGCCTATCCTCCACCTCTGCATTAGAAGGCTTCGCCCACTCCCACTCCCTACCATTGCGCCCCAGCTCGGCCAGGACAGCCCCCCAAAAAAACCTGAAGCAATAAGACACATACAGTTGGTCAGCATGGGATCGCCATATGGTTTCGCTTTGCGAGGAAAAAGGTGTGCGACGTCGACTACTCTATCGAGCTCACTTCAGCACGCGGATCGCCTCCTCGCGGTGCCAGAGCTTCACTGTCTGCGGGTCAACGTGCCGGATTGATGTCCTGATCTTCTGGCCCCCGAGCATCAACAAGTCGACGGGGTACATGATGACGACAAAGCTGCAATGGGATCCTGGAAGGGGTGCGATGCTGCACAGGCAAGGCACTAGACGTCGTTCAGACCCCGAGTCCCGACACCGGTTGCAACATCCATACAGCATGACAAACTCGGACCGGCTCACCTCGACGTCAAGGGGATAACAGCTACGTCGGCGTCGAAGACAGTCGAAAAGCATGTGTGGTTGTTCCTACCCATCGCCGCGTGAAGCCGGCCGACTCCTATCGACCACAATCGCATGTTGTCCGGCGTGTTTCGAATCCATGCGTACCTGCACGCATAAATATGCATAAGAGGTACGTGAGGGCTGGCCCGACAACCGATGAGGGATAAGATGGATTGGAAAACGCCGACTGACGAGGGTGGCAGCAGTACAACGGTGAACCACTGTCGCGACTATGAAGGGTTCAGAGACGGTGAGATCAATAGTGCCGTCCTATGCGGGCACAACCCTGTATGACGTCGCCGGGGTGGTTAACGACACCGACCTAGATGGTGTTGTAACGTAAATTCGGTGTTCTATACAAGGACATCGAAGGTCCTGTCCCCTCATGTCGGTGCCGATTAGACCGACGTCAACGCGGTGGTCGAACTAGGGAAACCCGGAGCGTCACCCTAAACGACGAACCGTACGGAACCCCACTCTGTGTCGACCGGCGAGGGTTCTAGACTGGTCGACGCCGACATATCCTAGACAATACTCACTTGAGGCCGAATCCCAAGCAACGGTAATTGAACTCTAGACTATGGTCTATGAGGACGGCGTAGTCGTGTTCGTCGATCTTAACAGTGAGACCACTACCCATATCGATATACAGAGGGAAGTCCTGCAAAGTCGGCAACACTTTGGCGACGTGTGGTTCGGCCTCCATGACGGTGAGGGGAAGTAACTACAGGCTAAGGGACGAGAAGGTGGGAGTGAGGAAGGCGCAGAGCTGGAAAAGGGTTGAAAGAGAAACGAGAGGTCGAAAATGAGGTGCGAAGCCACCATCCACAAAGAAAAGGAAGGTGGAGCCTCGTAGGCCGGTCGAACATCGCCCACGGGTGTGGGGCCTGGCTCGGCAGGGCTTGGAGGCCGCATGCACAAGTGGCACAAATGCACAGTCACCGCCGAGCCAGCAAGTCAACGTCACGTCCCCTGGCTTCGGTCGACCAGGGGACTCAATTTCGCATGCGCGCGGTGCGTCCGTTGTGGCGACACGTGTCGATTTCGCAGCGGATCGCGAAGAGCGTGCGCCGCGATACGAGGGATTTAATTTCGCGTCGTTCGAAATTTCGCATGCGCATGATGCGAACCCACGGTTGAACATGTGGCGTCACCGCAACGGGTCGCGAAATTGTCGAGCGTCCCGAGGGGAGCACCTGAATTTCGCATGGGCCTTGCCTGCCCGTCCGGGCAGGTCTTGATGGGTTACTAGGACGTCGCGGGCAGGAGGGACGGGGGGGCTGCCTTCGCGCTAGGGTTACTTTCCCTCGCGTGAGGGGTCGCCAGCTCGCCGCCCCCACCTGGTAACGTGGGGCGCTGTTCAATTACGCAATGGGGTTGCGGGGCGGCGGTCGTGCGCTCGGCCTAGCCCTAGGCCAGGCTGGCAGGCCCGCACGTGCGTTAGTGCCCTGCCCCGTCAGCCCCGGCTCTGACGACCCCCTCTGATGACCTAGGCAAATCGGCTCCGACGACCGAATTGTGCTGGGATGTTCGTGCCGATATGTCGAACAACGCTGCGCACCGTCAGTAATCGAACCCACAACTTAGCCTGATTTTTTATATGAACAAATATGCTTTATCTGAGAAATCATATGAGCATAAATTATTGGTATGAAAAAACAGATGGACACTTAAATCGTGTATGAAAATCAGACCATCAGACGAAATTCGTCTGATATCCAGAGCCCTGATACCGAGGCAACAGGACCACCACGACATACCGCATTTGACCATACCATACCAAACCCTGTAACGGAAGCAGAACAAAATGCCAATTCCTGTTTTGTGTAAGGAAAATTCATTTTCCTTATTTCGCGCCCCCTGATTAACGCGTACAAGACCATTCCCGCCATCGGCACCCAAACAGTGAAACGTTACCCACTCACGACACTCGCCTCGACTACGACTCCCGCCACTGTTCACGACGTGACCCAACCTTGTCAGAGGTCCACTGGTGATCCTCGATTGATCCTAGGAAAGGGTTACAGGCACATTGGCCTGGGGGGTTATGGGCGCACTCACCGGCTACACAAACAAGCCCTTTTATCCCAGTGGTCTAGTGACTGGGATTCTGACATGTTATCAGAGTGAAGGTCTCAGGGTCGAATCTCAGTATGTGCGCTTCGGGCATCCCAGTGCGGGGAGGTGTCAGAGGTCCACTGGTGATCCCCGATTGATCCTAGGAAAGGGTTACAGGCACGTTGGCCTGGGGGGTTATGTGATAATGAGAACGAGAATGAGTGAACTATGAAAATGAAGTGAGTACAAATATGAAACCCTAATTGGTTGTACCCCCTATGGGATACCCCACTATAGCCTACACAACAGCATAAGCTATAATGTTCTGACACACCCCCATAGGCAAAGTGGGGGAGAACAAGGGGTCACAAGACCAGTCAAGCAAAGCAAAGCAAAGCAAGCTCAGGGTGGATCACAAAGTCACCACACAGTCCGAGCACAGGGTCAAGGCCACACGGCCAGTTCACATGCAAGAGTACACACATATATATAAAGCTAGACAAGCAAGAGCAGGTATATATATATGTGAGAGTACAAGCAAGGTCAAGAGGAGAGCAAGTGAGGCAAGACGGGCACAAGACCCAGCTGAGTGCAGAAGCGCTGATGATCACAAGGCGGAAGTGCCTTGGTGAAGACATCAGCAGTGTTGGCCTCAGAGGCCACGTACGCAAGCCGCAACTGTCCACGTTGCTGTAGCTCACGAGCAAGGAAGTAGCGGAGAGCAATGTGCTTTGTTCTGTGCTCCAGTCGCTGCTCTCGACACAAGGCCAGCATGGCCTTGTTGTCTACGTACAGGACTGGAGGAGAACGAGGCGGCTCTCCAAGGTCGGTCAGCAGGTAGGTGAGCCAGCGAAGCTCCTGTGCAGCCATGGCCCCGGCGTAGATCTCAGCCTCACAACTCGAGCCAAGAACAGAAGACGAGCGAGTAGCCCGCCACGAAACAGAGCCGGAACCAAGGCTGAAGGTGTAACCCTGTGACGACCGCTGCGTAGCCTGGTCGTCAGCCCAAGAAGTGTCCGCGTGTCCAGTGAGGACCACTGGACTCCGCCCTCCAAGCACTAGCCCCATGCCCGACGTACTGCACAAGTAGCGCAACACCCTCTTCGCTGCAGCCATGTGCTCTGGTCTGTGTCTCCCAGGAGCAACATAGCGTGCAAGAATGCTAAGAGGGTATGCAAGGTCAGGTCGTGTGCAGGTCATCAGGTACATGAGGCAGCCAACAAGCTCTGGGTACGGGCCACTCGACTCTACGGACTCATCCGAAGGCAGAGCTGAGAGCGAGTGGCGAGTAGGCAGAGGAGTGGCCTGAGGCGAGGAGTACGTGAAGCCGAAGCGCTGAAGGACCTGCTGCACCATGTGTGAGTGAGTCAGGGTAATGGTGCGGCGTGCTCTGTCCCGGGTGATCTGCAAGCCAAGGTAGCTGCGCAGTTCACCCAGGTCTGTGCACGTGTGTCTCTTCTGCAGCTCGGACTTCACGTAGGCGAGTCCAGCAGTGTCAGCTGTGGCAAAGACCAAGTCGTCGACGTACACGAGGATGTAGAACGGCGGCAGAGAGGTGTCGGTGCGTAGAAACAGCGACGGGTCGGCAGTAGAAGGAGCAAACCCAAGAGCCGCAAGCGTAGTCCTCAGTGTGTCGTGCCACTCACGTGGCGCCTGGCGGAGATCGTAGACTGGACGCCGGAGACTCCACTGGGTACCAGGAGGGAAAGACCCAGTGAAGCCAGGTGGGCGACGCAGCCAGATCTCCTCGTGCAGGCTGCCCTGCAAGAAAGCTGTGCTGAAGTCAAGAGAGTGCAGCTCGTAGTCACGGTGAGCAGCAACGTGCAGCAGTACCCGAAGAGTGGTCATCTTCGGGGTGGGGGAGAAGGTCTGAAAGTAGTCAACTCCCTGCCGCTGACTGAAGCCACGAGCCACGTAACGCGCCTTGAAGACAGGCGGAGAACCCGGCGGCCGCTTCACCCTGAAGATCCACATGCCACTGACAATGTTCGCCCCAGGAGGGGGGACAGCGTCAACGTAGGTGCCTGTGGACTTCCAGGAAGCCATCTCTGCATCCATAGCTGCCTGCCACTGAGAGGAGTAGGGACCCTCTATCGCCTCCGCGTAAGAGCGCGGAGTCGGGATGTCAAGTGCATCCGGGTCTCCCTCAGGGGTAAGCAGTACGGACACGAGATGAGGTGAGGCAGCTGCCAGACACTGGAACTCCTCCTGCCTGTCCTCAAGGACGTCCGTGCCAAGGGCACACTCACCCCCGACGGACGGAGGACAGACAGACTCAGACTCAGCGACAAGACTAGCAGCGTAGTCTAAGCGACAGCGAGCAGCAAAGT